CCCCCCCAAAAAAAAAAAAACCCCAAAAAATAAATAAATAAATAAATTGCTCCCCCAACCTATCTTAAAACAATAAACAGTGGCAAATTGAACTAGCACATTGGAAAGTAAAAGCCCATTTAAATTCCCAACAATCAAGTCAAATGGGCCCAAAGACTAAAAGTCCAACATTACAACACTAGAAACCCAAAAAACTAATAAAAATAATAACGAAAAAGATCCCAAGTGCATTCCTACAAGATGCTATAGTTTTATAGTATTATATTTTTTTATTTTTAGGTAAATAGATACTTATTATCTGCCCCTCAAAGAAAAATTTTGTGGATCCGCCAGTGCACTTAATCTTTATATCATAGCATTTGCCATTTCTACACATGATGCTTATTAATCCACTGCAGATTTTGTACATCTTATAACCGCTTCATATGACTTCACCTTCAATAAATGGTCATACAATAATCCTAAAGCATGCCCCTGCTTTTTTCATCTTGTTTTGAGTGTACAAATCATATTCTAGATCTCATTATCATAGTGAAGGATTGCATTAAGTGAAGTAAAGAAAAATAGTGACCCAAATATTTTGAGTTAAATGTTGGACGGTAATATGCATCACTCACTCATTCTTCTACCTAAAGTTACATTTTGTTTGTATTTTAAAACTTCTCTCCATATTTTCCCCCCTGCTTTCGGAATTATTCTTCTCCAAACTCATCAAGTAATACAATACCATCAACAAACATGCACCATTGAGCTTCATCTTCAGCATGGAAAGTAAGTTCACCCGTGGAAAGTGTAAACAACAACATAGTCTTTACCCCAAAATTTCAGAGTTTGCCACATGAATCATAATCTTATGTTTAGTTCTGTTAAGGGCCATCTTCTCTATTGAGTTAACTACTATCATATCGCTCATAATTGTTTCTGACCAAGTCCTCTTTGCCCCCATTAACTATAATCTCATGGCCTAATCTCACCATTAGCAGACATCGCTAGCATACACGGACAAGGAAAATAAACACAGTGCATTCCTTGTTCTGAAATGTTGACACCTTGATCAACATATGACATTCCTGCAAACTTAAAACTCAAAAACACGCCACAAGATAATGAGATACCAAATTACAATACACTGTTCAGGTCCAACAACAGACATATACCAGGACCAAGTTAATCATAAATATAACATAGGAAATTTCAGTGCATTATTACCGAGATGACATAGGTCAAACCACATGCAAGAAGCAGATAACTTGCAATCTCCTGAAGCAGCACCATCTCTTCTCGCTCTCCCTCGAAATCAGGGAACGCTCTGGTCATCACAGCAACACTGCAATCCAAAAGTTAATTCACTCAATCTTGAAAAAAACAATAAAACTTAAAATCTCAACAGAAGAAATTTTCAAAACCGACCCAAATCATGTTTTTATTTTCAAAACCGACCCACTTTTTTTTATTTATCAAAATCGACTCACTTTTTGCCACGTCAGCTTAATCTCATTTCCTAATTAGTCGGGGTTGCCAACCCCGACTATTTAGGACAGCAAAAACCGGATTTAAGGCTTCTAATTGGGTTTTAACAATCTCCTAAACAGTCGGGGTTGCCAATCCCGACTGTTTAAGAATGGGATTAAGCTGATGTGGCAAAAAGTGGGTCAATTTTGATAAAAAAAAAGTGGGTCGGTTTTGAAAATAAAAACATGGTTTGAGTTGGTTTTAAAAATTTCTTCAATCTCAACATTAAAAAATGTACGTATCACGAACAATATCTGTAGCGCTCCCCTACCTGCCCAGAACTCCAAAACCTAGCACATAATGAAACAAATACAGCAAGTTTTAAGAAAATTAACAATATAATATACAAAAAAAAAAGTTACCCTCCAGAACTTCATAACGAAGCTCCATTCGGTCTCGGCAACCGCCACGAACAGCGCAAGCACAACCGCATAGCACCGAAATATTCCACCAAAGATCTGAAGAAAGAAAAGGTTTATTTTTAGTCCCTTAAATCTTCAATATTTTGAAATTAGCCCTTCAAATAATTTACATTAGGTCCCCCATTCTTATTGAAAAGGAGGAAGGACCTAGGGTTCGATTTGACACGTGATCCTTCTTACATCGGCGCCGTTCTTGAAGGATCTGACGGCGGAGAGAACGTTGACGGAGACGCAGAGGACGGCGACGACGGCGGTGAGGAATCTGAAGCACCTGCAGACGATCAGCAGAGGGTCGGGACTGGGCCGGATCCCGGCGGAGACGAGCTCCGGCGGGCGGCTGGAGGAGGCGGGGTCGGCGTCGCTCGACATTTGAAGCGAGCTGGGGTTTGTGATGAGGGAGTGGGGAGTTTTGGGAGAGGAATCGGTCGTTTTCTTTGGGACAAATTTTCGTTTTAGACCTCTTTAGAAAAATGTTTGCCAAAATTTACCTATTTCGGAAATATTTGTCAATTTCGATTCAGTTTCAGCCATTTGGCTGAAACTAGATCGAAATTGGTGAAATATATTCATAAACTTCACGGGATTTGCCATGGGTTAACAACGTGATTATGCGGGCGAAAGCGGGTGAAATTTTGATATGAAATCCCGTGAAGCTCAAACTTCACGGGATTTCAAATCCTGTGAAGTTTCTTGCCATAGTCCAAAGAGCACTGCTTTCTGGCAAGCTAGCCTGCAACTCCATGGGATTTGAAATCCCGTGGAGTTGGGGCAGGGCCTATATAAGGCTCACACGATCAAAAATCGCGTTACCCGACTATTTCTTACGACTCTCTCTCTCTTGGCTCCTTGCATTCAAACCCTAGAACTTTATACTGTCGCCCCTCGTCGTCGTCGCTGTCACCACCGCATTGTCCATCGGCGATGGTCGATCCTACCGCCGTCATTGCCGGAGTTTACCAGAAATTAGGGCATCAACAAATTTTAGATAAAATCTTTAAAAAAATTATTTTTTCTCCTAATTTTTTACATATTCTCACTATTTCATGCTAATAGCTTGTTTAAATTTAGATTTTGAAATAATTATGAATTTTGTAAAGAAAAATTAAAGAAATTTATGTATGAAGTTAGAGGGGAAATTATCGAAAATTGTAAAAGTTGGTGTATTATAAAGGTTTGACATTTGGTTATATGGATGTCTAAAATTGATATTAGAGGATTTAATGGTACATAATATTTTTTATGTTTTTCGTGTAATATTGATATTGGAATTTTTTAACTCTTCAGAGGTAACGATGAACGATCAAATCGCAATTCTTTGTTCATATGATAGAAAGATTAACTATCTCGAGAATAATATGCCCGTATATGAAGGAGATGTGACGAAGCCGTTGTTTATATCAAAATTATGTACTTTCGATGAATTGGTTAATGACTTACACAAACTTACATTAACCAATCCACGTGAGTATCACCTCAATATTATTTACAATTATCCTGTTACGAGGAACAGAACAAGCGACATTCAAATCTTAAGTGACTATGATATGGGTCTTATTGGAATATTGCATGATGAGAAGCGTTCACTGAAATTATTTATTGAAAAGCATCACAGAAATTTGGGCAAATCGGTGAATCACGACGGAGTATACTCTCGCATGTTGGAGGACCTTGAAGTTGACTTCGCCGTCTTTTTATCTCCGCAACAAGATATAGGATGGACACAGTCACAATACTTGAGCGGTCTTTCGCTTGTGGGCACTTCAAATGCCTTCGATGATAACGCTCCCCTTCAAGATATAATACCTTCATATGAGTGATGATAGAAGATGATAATGTAAGTGTCGAATCCGAGGATGATGACGAAGAGGATGGCTTACAAATCAATAGAATGACGTGTTTGATAGATCGTGATGAAGGGGACAACCAATATATCGACCGATGTTACTCTAACAATGAGTATGTCGTGCTAGAGGATCCACCACCCAAAGAACTTCATGGAGAAGAATGGATTGATAACTCCACGATAGAAAGTATTCCTATCGACACTAATATAGTTGATGATACACAAGGCGAGGACTTCTCATTCAGAAAGGACGGTCTATTTGAAAGCAAGGAGAAATTGATGCATGCTCTTCGTTTGTGGGCCATCCAAAAAATATCAAGTTTAGGCAGATAAAAAGCAATGCAACAAGCTATAATATAGTTTGTTTTTACCGTAAAGACGGTGAGAAAGAAGATGGCGGTGGGCACCATGAAGAAAATGCAAAATGTCCTAGAAAGCTTAATTCATGCTTGGGTGTAAGAGTAGGCGGACAATTTAAAATAACACACTACAACGGACTTCACACTTGTAGTAATCCTTGATTAAAGATGAATCATAAACACGTGTCCACCTCTTTCATATATTGATTGATTATGCCTAAACTAAGGGAGGATCTTGATCTAAGGCCAAAGGATATTTGTCTTTTAGTGCATAAAGCGACCAACTTGAATGTATCATACAATAAGTGTTGGAATGCTTGGAGAAAGGCGATGATAAAAATATTCGAAGATTGGGACAAATCTTATGAGATCTTACCACATTATCTTGAAGCACTCAAAAAAGAAAATCTGGGGACAGTGTACGAAGTATCATCAGACCCTGTTGATGGCGAAGATAGACGGTTCACAGGTGTATTTTGGGCATTTGGGCCTTGCATTGAGGAATTCAGATATTATCATCCTCTTCTTAGCATTGACGGCACCCACTTGTACGGTAAATATAAAAGTGTTTTTCTTGTTGCAACCAGAGTAGACACAGATGGTGGTTTATTTATTTTGGTCTTTGCAGTGGTTGATGTTGAAAACACGAAAAAATACTCATGGTTTTTTGCATGCATTAGATATCATATCCCTAGTATGCGAACGCGATCGATTACATTCATATATAATAGGATGAAAGGACTTACAATAGCACTCCAACGACATTTTCCATCGCCACATCAACATCGTCATTGCTTGCGACATATTAGGGACAACTTCAAGATGAAGCATGAACAAGTGCAGCTTCAAGATCTTCTTTGGCAAGCTGGATGTGCAACGGAAAAATTAGTTTATGAGCAACTACGGTAGAGGATTACGTTCATTTCACAAGTTGTACATGATTGGATCGAGACTAGTTTGGGTCAGAACAATGTTGATAAGTGGGTTTTATGCGAAGATGGTGGGAAACAATTTTATATGATGACCACTAACGCTTCTGAGAGTTTCAATGGTGTGCTTAGGGGAGCATGCAGTATGTCAATACAGTCATTAGTTGCAAACAATATTTTACAGACTTAATAAATTCTTCCTTAGCAATGCACACTTTGTGCAAATATCCCGTCAGAGCTGATGCCGAAAGTTAAAGGCATATTAGCGGATCAGATTATGCACACTCGATCATTTCGTGTCGTTAGATACATTTTTAATGAATGGGAGGCATTGAGGGAATATCACATAGAGAAAGTCGCTCTTACAAAGTTAATTTGCTAGTTGATCACACTTGTACATGCACTTGTAATATACCGTAATTACAATAGCTTCATTATTCCCATATTGTCACGGCTTGCTCGGGTCTATAAGGTGGTGCGAGGATATCACATTATACATTCACCGCAGATTCCTATTCAACTTATAACTATCAACAAACGCACAAAGAGTGTTTTCGTCCACCATATGATAGTCGGCATTGGACACAAGGTGGGCCACGTGTAAGGACCATGATTTTTGGATACTAGTTAAAATAATTTTTTGGTATTCTAAAATATTAAATAATTATTTTAAAGGAGTGTTTATATTTTCTCGATTTTCTAGAATTTTCTATGATTTAAATATCCGGTTTTATATAGTTTTGTTAATTATAAATTAAATTGTTACGATAAAAACTTTTTTAATTAATATTTAAATTATTTCTTGTTATTATTATTATTATTATTATTATTATTATTATTATTATTATTATTATTATTATTATTATTATTATTATTATTATTATTATTATTAATTTACACTGATTTTATCTTGATTTTTTCTCTTTGTATTTCTCCTTAATTCTCTCACTAATTATTCCCCCGATTTCCTCCCTGAATCTCTTCCCTAAATTTTCTCTCATTTGAATTCTTTCCATAAACTCCTCAATTCATTGATTTCCTTCCTAACCAACCCCCCCAATTCACGCGCATAATCCCTCTCTCTCCTCATCATCAGCTCCCTTTTCTCTCTTTCTATTATTTCTCTCTCTCACTCCTCATTATCACAACTAGCCAATCAATCTCTCTCTATCTCTTCTTTCTTACATTTATCCCCCGACAACCCAACACCATCGCACGCCCAGCCAGCTCCGAACACCGAGTTCGCCATGAACTTCTCCCCCTTAACTCCGACAACCCACGCAAACCGCACCACCAACATCTCCCCTTGTCCTCCCCTCTCGGCCGAGGCCTCTAGTGCGCCGCCGCCCCCTCAAGCTCCGCCTCCCACCTGCTCCACGCACAAACCCACACCCATCTCCTCCCCCAGCCGAACTCTGCCATCTCACGCCTTCGCTGGACCCTGTGGGCCGCGGCGTTGTCGAGCCACACCCCAACCCCACCCCACGCCGACCCCCCAGATCCACGTCGATGTTCCCCGACGATCGCCGCTCCCAAGCTCACCCGCTCTCCTGGTCGTGCTCACCGTCGCGCCTGAGAACGCCGCCGCCCTGCAGACCCCCTCTCACACACCCTCGAAACCCGCGGCCAGCCCAAGAAATGCGCCTCCACCTTCTCCTCCTGTTCGCAGCGCCCAGATCCGTAGTTCGCCGTCGCCCATCACCACCTCATGTCGTCAGACAGCCCCTGACCGCCTCCGCAGCCCCATCAGCCCTCACGTCGCCATCGGCCTCCCGACCCCTTGTTCACCACTCGACCACCTCCAGCCCTTCATCGTCGGATGTCGTGCTACCCGCATCAGATCCGACCTGCGCCACCGACGTCAATTAGTTCGACGCGTAGAGGCAAGATCTCGTCTCTCCATATTTTCTCATTTTACAAATATTATCGGTTAAATAATTTAATTTAGATATGATAATGTCGGTAATATGCATGTTGTGAATTTTTGACTTGGAATGTTGATAAATAGTATTAGATAATATTTTAGAAATAATAATGAGATATTTTGTGGTAATTATATCTGAGAATTAACGAGCATGAAATGATGAGTATATGTGTTGTAATTAGAATTTACAAGACATTAATAATTTTGTATATTTTCATCTAAGAATTCACGGACGTAAAATGACAAGTTATGTGTTAAAATTTAGAATTTACGAAATTTTATAGAAAAGGAATTAATTAAGGAAAATTTATAAAATAGGAAAATATTACTTTTAATGCAGAAAGGAATTAATATATTATAT